ACAGTATGTTAATTAAAGACATAACTATACTCACAAAGATTATATAAATTTTGTCTGTTTTCTGGTTTGCAACATAGATTATTAGCTCTTGTTTACACCCACTTCTGAGCCCACAAAGCATTTTCACATTAATAAATATCATTCCATTAGTGCTGCTGAACACCTGCAGCCACTTAATATTGAATTTCCTGCACCGAGGTGATGTGTAATACAAAGATTAACGTCAGCGTGCATTTAAATTCAATCAAAAATGCATTAAATTCATATGTGATTTTTGTACCTTTCCACAGGCAGCGCAGAATTAATGTGCAGGGAGTCGCCTTGGGGTGAGATATGCAAACAGGCAGCCGGGGGGGTCGCAGTTGTAATTTTTCATCTGGGAAAGTACAGAACAAGTGCTTCTCTTTGCTGTGCCAGTGTGCCTTTTGGCAAGGCACAGCGTCCAGCTCTTCAGCGGGACAAAACCATGGTTGTTCTGGGCAGCTCAGCTCGGATCGATGAGAGTTTAGGGTTTCCAGTGGATTTCAGAGAAATGAAAGCAAACATTCATCAACAACAAAAAGCACAAAAAAAATTGATTTCTTGGCAGGCGAAGCTGAATGTTCTTTAATCACCGAATGAATGTGAAAACAGCGCAACATTAAACATCATCTTCTCGTGCACTACATTCCCCTCCTCAATTGAAAATCACTCCAACTTGAAAAAAAGCACGAAATCGTTCAGTATTTTTTGTGACCTGAGCCTGACTCCAAGTGTAACTGTTATGCAAAAACGTGGTCAAACCCAGCTGTTAGGCTTTGCTGCATCTAACATGTCACGCTAGTTTTCCCATTAGCATAGCATTCGCGGCTTAACTTTGCACGAGATCCAGATGCATCTCCTAACTGCTCGGACCTGTTAGATGACTGCGAAATACATCACATGACAAAAAATTATATAAGTGTAGTTATGAAATATAATGGACAGGAACCAGATAGACATTTTTAGCATATCTGAATTTTTCGTAGGGTTTTTTTTTTAACGCTCCGTCAGACAAAAACACGGTGGGACAGAAAAGAACAAACTTTCCAACAGCACGGGATTGTGCAACTCCCTTTTTTATTTTTGGAGCTTACAAAAACAGAACACTTGCATAAGCTCTCGACCTGAAGCACGCACGCTCCGTCTCCTTTTTGGCTTGTCAGGGCGACTGTATTTATGAAAACACCTCGGGCTGAATGGCTGCAGTGGCTGCATCGAGGACATGTTGACATTTTTGTAGCGATCAACCATCAAGCCCAGAGCGGCTGCATTCATGACCAACCTTGTCATCTTTCAACACTGCTGCTCTTATCTCTGTGACTCTCATTTTCTCTCTTTTGCCTTTACGTGCTTCTCCTGTTCAACCCTTAACTTTCTCTCTTTGCCCCCCGTCCTCCTGCCGTTCCCTGTATTATTTTTTTTGTGACTATAAAACTGTGGCTATATCTTTGGTTTCTCAAATATATACTCTTGTGTGAAATAAAGTGCATGATATAACTGTAGCTTTAACTAACATGTTTGCTTTCCGAGTCATTGCAAACAAATTTTTTCTTCCCCTGTTCTTGAAAAGCTTTTACTATGCCTATATTTGACTCATCTTTCTGAATATGGAAACACGCTGTAGCTATACAACACAGATGTCTGTCATTATTTATCCGTACAACCTCTCCGCTCTGCAGAGACTTGAAGCTGGACAATATACTGTTGGATGCTGAGGGTCACTGTAAGCTGGCAGACTTTGGGATGTGCAAGGAAGGAATTCTCAATGGAGTCACCACCACCACCTTCTGTGGGACACCGGACTACATAGCACCTGAGGTAACCCCAGAAACACTCAAACAATGCATAAACAGAGCAACAGACATAACATCTTCTTAACACTTGAGTTTGTCACTTGAGTATTAAACACTAAGCTGTGATTAGACAGGTATTTTTATAACCAAGCACGCCATCCCCGAGAGTTTATTAAGATAGACTAAATAGGGGGACCAATGCTCATCTTCATAAACTGTATATAAAAGCAATTTGGGCTTGAGAGGAGTATTTCTGTTTTTTTTTTTAGATCCTCCAGGAGCTGGATTATGGTCCTTCAGTGGACTGGTGGGCGCTAGGGGTGCTGATGTACGAGATGATGGCAGGACAGCCACCGTTTGAGGCCGATAACGAAGACGACCTGTTTGAGTCCATCCTCCACGATGACGTGCTCTATCCGGTCTGGCTCAGCAAGGAGGCCGTGTCCATTCTAAGAGCGGTCAGTTAGTTGTGGCACTGTGTTGTTTGCGCTGTTGTCGACATCCAGCAAATGAGTTATTTAAGCAGTTTCGTACAGATTAAATAGAAACAGTTCACCTACACCAAGGGTGTCCAACTCCAGGCTTCGAGAGTCGGTGTGCTGCCGGTTTTAGATGTGTCCTTGATCCAACACAGCTGATTTAAATGACTAAATTACCTCTTCAACATGTCTTGAAGTTCTCCAGAAGCCTGGTAATGAACTGATCATTTGATTCGGGTATGTTGACCCAGGGTGAGATCTAAAACCTGCAGGACACCGGCCCTCGAGGCCTGGAGTTGGACACTCCTGACTTACGCAGTCTGCTATGTGGATAATGCGGCGTCCAGACTTTTGGGGATTATTCTGAAGATTCTGAACCAATTTTAGATTCCACAAAGACAGAAAGATATGGTTTCCACATATCATGATAATTCCAGTGGTGACATTTTTGGATATTTAGTAAGAACACAAATTAACATAATCAAATCACCCTTTTTACTACCGTCTTCTGAGTCTTTCATGATTTTTCTTGTGTTTTTCCTTATGCTACATAAGATATATAATTAGATCTTGTGTATATCTTATATAATTCTTACTTTTTGTTTGTTTGTTTTAGCACTAAAACTTTCACTTTATAAAGGACTCAAGTAGAGTGTATCACAATTGTCCTCGTGTTTCCCTGCTTTTGTCTCTTTTTCACATGTGAGTGAGGATGCTGCTTTTTTCTCAGTGTCATTTGTTGATCCATGTTTCCTGTTCCTCCACTAAAGCAACATAAGATAATTCCCTCTCTATTACTTTTGTCTCTGTGTGTTACTGGTTGTGTGTGCAGCACCACTTGTCCATTTGTGTATTTGTTCATCCAGTTTTTCCATCACAAGCTTTGCGTTTACCTTGGCTGTGGGTACAGTTTGACTGCAAAGCCTTGTGGGAAAGTGTGTGTTTATGTTGGACAGTGTCTTGGACTCTGACCGGTCACTTGACCGGTGCTATGGGCTCTGATTGGACATGTCATCCAGCTGAAGGACTTCAAGTCACATGAACAGCTTGTGCGCTACTGCTCCACTAGTTTTTAATTAACATACATGCGAAATATCCTGAAGGCATTTTAATAAAAAGCAATGGCTCTTATGTATCGTTTATACGAATAAGCAACTAATAGTCCCAGAATTTCCCCTTTTCTGCTTGAAAATATGGTGATTCTTCACATGCTGTTTTAGAAACCTTTGGATCTGAACCCATCCTGAGCCCTTTTTTTGCCTTTATACGTAAAAGATTGCATTAGAAAAAGAGCAAACTGTAATGCCAAAAATTAATTTCAGGTAGGAACACAATATTAGAAGAAGATTATTTCCATCAGTGGTAATTTATATTTGGTAGTGTGTTCTGGGGAGCAGCAGCAAGACCCTGAAGAGTCAGAAAAAAATGAAAGATTTTTAATTTTACTTTCTGTTCTGAAACAAAACTTTGTCTTTTTTAGATGTTTGGTGTTTTTGGCCTTATTGTGCGAATCTTCCTCTGACTCAGTCTGAGATCTCTGAAAATAATACCTGTTAATTGCTTCTTACAAGACTAGAAATGAAATAGAAATGAATAGTGAAACAGCCTTAAAACCCTGTCTTAGTTTTTTCTTTCCTTCAGAAAGACATTCTTGTTCAGCAGTGAATCTCCCTCTTTAAATCATATCCTTTAAAATGTTCTCACTCTTTTTCTTTTCGTCTTTGTTTCTCCTCTTTCTCTCTGGCACTTGTCAGTTTATGACTAAGAGCCCTAACAAGCGTCTGGGCTGCGTGATGGCTCAGGGTCTGGAGGAGGCCATTAAACTCCACCCGTTCTTTAGAGAGATTGACTGGACGCTGCTGGAGCAGAGGAAGATCAGACCACCGTTCAAACCTCGCATCGTGAGTACACACACGCTAAGTAACTAAGCAACTGTGGGGGAAAGCATCTGTAGACTGTTTGCAGAGGATGATGCAAAAATGTGAAGCTTATTACTATTCTGTTCAAAGGTAGAGAGAAGAAGTTAAAGTTAAGCCTTTGTTGCAAAAATGCAATTTCTTTGAATGACCAAACACTGATCTTACTTGTTGAAGACTGCTGACACTGCTGCACACCCAGTTACTTCATGTCCAAAGGCTAAATCCACCAAAAGAAGACCTTATCTCTTCTTCCTTTCCTTCCAGAAAACCAAAAGGGACGTCAATAACTTTGACCAGGACTTCACCCGTGAGGAACCCGTTCTGACGCCTGTTGAAGAGAGCATCATCAAGCAGATCAACCAAGACGAGTTCAAAGGATTCTCCTATTTTGGCGATGAGACCAAAGCCTAGACACGTACATGCCGATGTGTAACATTAACCACAAACACCACACCACACCTGAAAAACTTTCAAAGACACCGTATTTAAAGAAACACGGCCTCCTGAGCTGTTCCAGGTTCTGACCACTCCAGGAAATATACTAGACCATTTGTATTACTCATTATGGTTTCTGTGCTCTTGTCGTTTGTCCATTTGTGCATATCCCATGGACCTCAAGCAGCATGCAAGTGCAGGTCAGTTACTGTAAGAAATGACCCGATGCTCCTTCGGCTGGTTCGGATGTGTTGTAAAAGCAGGCAGCGCGGCGGACAAAACCAAACTGAAGTAGATACAAAGGCAAGGTCATGTTCTCTGTGTGTGAGAGTGAGAGAGAAATAAGATCATGTGTGTACAAGTGTGCATGCATGTGTTGTTGCACACCTCTTCTAGAGAGAGAGTCGTTTCTTTACATGATGTGCTGCGTCCTGTGTCTCAGTGTTTAAACAGTGTTTTTCCTTCCTACGTGTATGTAAATGAAAAAAAAAAATCATTGAACCAATGATTGTATTTAAACAAGAAATATCTTGAAAACTGTTTTATTCGTTATGGAAAGAAGTGTGGAAAGGAGGTGTGAGAAATCAGAGATTTTTCTGACGTTAAAAGTTTAGTCTCAGTATTCGTCAGTGCGTCATTACCTTAAATAATAACTCGAGAAGAGGCATCACTGGAGTGACACTTTGGCATTTTAAATTTGAGTTTAGCATTATGTCAGTAGTTCTGCTGTGCTCCGTTACTAACTTGCTTTTAGCTTCTCAACATCGACATTCCAGTTCCTCGTTAAAAAATACAAACAAAAACAAATGGTACTACTGTAGCTTACTACTGGGAGTGTCCATTATGGGGATGAGGTTTGCTTACAGTGTTAACAAGCCGTTTTGCATATAACACGATACTTGACACGGAGACACTTGTCTAGTAAAGCCAAATAACAAGCTGGAACAAGCTGAATCGGAAACGTCCGGGGTGCCCTTTAAAAACACGATTCATTTTAGCTGAAGTGCTTGTTACTGACTCTCTCGATGCACCTTGTGGAGCGAAATCTTCCTGGGTCAGCTCCTTAAACACCTTTGTGACCAGTTTATCCTTGAAATGCCTTGTGTGCGCGCGTGTGTGTACAGTAACTGTTTTACCAGTGAATGTACTGGACCTACTGTCTCTAACATGACAAACCAAACCCCCGTGATTCCACAGAAAAGTCGAGGATCGTACACAGAGGAGAATGTGTTCAACTGAATGTATTTGCTCTGCAGTGTGCGCGTGTGTGTGTGTGTGTGTGTGTGTGTGTGTGTGCGCGCGTGTGCGTGTGTGTGTGTGTGTGCGCGTGCGCGTGTGCGCACGCGTGTGTGTGCATATGAGGAGAGCCCGTTTTCCCATCAAGTTGTACTTATTTTTTTTAATTTAATACATTTCTTTTGTGGGTTTTTGAGTAGTTTTTACTGGATTGTCTTGTTCTTTTTGTGTTTTTAGAAATCTTTAAATTTCATGTTGTAGATTTCAGTGAGACTCACGTGATCAGACCCTCCTCTTCCTCCCCTCTCTTGTACGCCCTAAACATGGAAGTAAAATAAGCTTCAAATAAGGAAGAAATTGGACCGATTTTGCTCCATGTTGCAGGTTGATACCTTTATAGGGAGCTGAAAAGAATCCAGAAATGTTAAAGAAAACTCCATGTGCAATACTCTGAAATAGGAGTTTTGGGGGGTTTTCTATCTTTTTTGCTCTTTTTTCTTCCGTTGTTCCTGCATTTGAAGAGAAGTACAGTAGGTTCAGCTCACAGAGAGAAGTGACAAGTATTCACCACGTTCTCTCAGAAACCATCAAATAAGCATTTCAGCACCATTTCTCTCACATTCATATGTAATTGCCACACACTGATGAAAGATATTTGCCAAAAATTAATATTGTCAAGAGCAGCCAGCGCAGAAAGTAGCGTGCTATTATAAGAAAAAAAAATGGCTACAGTTTAAAGTAGATTGAAGCTTTGAAATCTGCCTTCAGATCCTATAAAAAATAATCATTTATGTAAACATATCAATAAGTGCCCCTGAGGGCATATTTAACAGAAATTATGATGATAAGGGCACTAATAAACACAAACATGACCGTAAGTTTACTGGGAGCCTATTTAATAGACTTAATACCTAAAGCGTATGTGCTCTTTAATTTCCTTGTACTTTTTCAGAAAGAACTGTGTAAATAATGGTCACAGTTCCCAAATAGCTAAACAGGAAGTAGTCTCTGTACCGCGGTGGGCTCATGCACCACTAGTTGGAGCAAATCTAAACTCTCCTTGATGCTCAAACACAAGTGCACGTTTCATGTTGAGCTGCTATGTGAGTAAATGTGCAAACTTCAAATTCAATTTTAAGGAAATGTGCAACACTGGAGTGCGTGGAGGTCACAGGAGTTGGTATTCTTAACCTGTCCCATGCAGGTTGTGGACATCAACACCTTTCTTAACTCGTCATGGTGACCATTTAGTTTGGTCATTTGTAGTTTTAATTCTTACTTAGAATGATTCTTACAAAACAAATAAATGACAAAATTAATTGAACGGTGTGAGGGATGCTGGGCTGTTACCTTAAAGCCTGTCTGACAGGGGCAGCCTCCACCCATATGTGTGACACCCCATCACGAAGAGGCAACAACAGCTCCAGTAGGAGAGGACATAGACCAACACGGTAGCCACAAGGGAGACAACACCCCGGTTCTGTGCTGAGAAATCCTTGGTTATCTGGGGGCAGAAGCAGTTGCAGGTAATCTGTTAAAATATCTGGAACATGTTAGATCTTCTTGACAGATCATGGGGCACACAGCCTCAGAGCAGGAAGGTCCCAGGTTCAAATCCACCATCTGGCTATGGCTTTTCTGGGTGGAGTTTGCATGTTCTTCCTGCATCTGCATGGGTTCGCTCCAGGTACTTCTTCCAACCGTCCAAAGACATGCAGATAGTAGATGTTAGGTGAACTGGTGATTCTAAATTGGCCGTAGGTGTGGATGTCTACGTGTTAGCCCTGTCCAAAATGCCAATTTCATCCTATGGCAGCTGGGATAGGCTCCAGCTCACCTTGACCCTGAATTGGATGGATGATGCTGGCCAAAGACTTTGATTTTGAATTAGACAAGGACAAAACTACTGCACTGGCACTGATGGGTTGCATTTAATTTACAACTCACAAAATAACAACTTAAAATCAATAACAGCTGATTATCATGCTTTTGTATTTGTTGAAACAAACAGAAAGAAAATGCAGTTACAATTAAAATCCGATTCATCTCCACGTTTTAGCTGCCTAACCTCAAGATATCACCCTGAAATTACAGGGATAGACGATGAGTGTTTTTCAGACACGCCATTCTCAGATCTGAAGATTTTGAGTGCTGTGTGTAAAAAAGCATTATGATTGGAGCAAGACTGGTCCCGGTAATACACCAGAGCTGCTTGTGTCCACTGAGCACAATACTTCCACCAGACATGTAGCAGCACATTTCAGAAGTATCTCAGAAGCTACTTTTGGTCCCTTTAAGGTAGCACAGAGTAGAGGAAGAAGGCAGGGTGTCAGGGATGTTAACGGCATAGAATAAATGTTCAATTTCCAAAATGATTCCCCATCCATTCCCATAAAGCCTCTGCTTACAAAGTGCTCAAACATTTCAAGGGTAATACTGCATTTTTTGGACCGGTACCAGCGCCAGTCAGTTAAAGCTGAACAAACTGTGTGATGACAGCATTTATAAATGTCATCAAGCATCTTTTATGCTTTTTCTTTTTATTGTGTAAAAGAAAGAAATCTGACAACATACAGCTGTGATTGGCTAATATCAGCCAAAAGATGACAACATAAGACCTTTACTGCGAAACTGGTTTCAAATCGTGCTAAAAAGTTACATATGTGGTAATTTGTGGGAGTTGTGATCTAATTTTATTCACATGCAGATGACATTTAAATGAGCTTTCATTAAAGTCCAAGAATAGCACAACAAGCAGCACCGTTCATGTAGCAGTAAAACCCATGCTGTAGCAGCAGTTTGAAGAGCTGAAGATGCGTTACTGTAAATACAGCGGATCTATCGATTAACGTTGTCCAACTTTTCTTCTTCTCTCGTGTCTCCTGTTGCTTTAGTCTTTCATTTGAAAAAAAAAAGTCAAACTATTTGTCCCACTACAACTAGAAAGGGATGCCTAGTCCTCCATGTTAAATGCCAAATGCTCATCTTCACTCGTTGTCACATCAGCGATGGAGGCGGTTGGAGATAAATGTAAAACAAGGAGGCACGATGTTGATTTCAAACAGTGGATACAGTATTATGATGCATACAGTGTCAAACGTTTATCTTCCCGCAGAGTGTTACTGTATGTTTATGCGGTTTGTCCCTGTATTTGTGAAGCTCTGTCTGTACATTTTGTTCATTGATGAATTATTTCCGTGCCCTTCATGTGTGTTTATGTTGATTTTTTCTTTTCGCCCGTTTGCGCTACGTGCCAAATGTACTGTATTTTAAAAGGATGTGAAGGTGTATTTTAATTTTTTTGAAATGAATTAAATATCATGATGTCAGAGAGAGGTGGCTGTTTGTTTGGTGTATCATTTCAGCTCCTATGATTTTTAATGCTCACTTTGCACTGATTTCAGATGTGTCAAAAAAAGAGATGAAAATATGTTTTATAATTTGCTCCCCATATTACATCACAGTGAGCAAAAAGCAGAAGCTACTGTATGTGTATGTTTTCCATCTGAAATATTTGAGATGTTGACTCAGGAGGACAATGTTAAACACACAAAGCATGTGTTTCTGAACAATGCGGTGCAACCTGCTCTTAAAACGACAGCTCAACTTTGATGTTTCGCTGAGAATAGCAACAATAGCTGTGACGCAGGCTGTTTATTGCTGTCTACTTTGGTTTTTAGTTGTACACCTTACATATCATAATTAGAAAAAGTGAATATTTAAAGCCAGCTCTTGGTCTGTTCTGCAGGTGCTTACACATAAACACAAATTGATACAGTTGTGTTACATCTACACCTGACAACCTGCAGCATAGATAGAAATCTGTTTTCTAGTTCAGCGGACAATGCCAGTAAATGACTCCCGAATGACAACCGCCAGAAAAATGCAAATGGTGAACTTGTATGGACTTTAATGGAAAAAATTTTCATGATAAGAGATTCAATATAGAAAATCTAAGTTTTACGTAAAACCCAGAACAAGATTTCCATTTTAACTGAGGCTAAAAGCAGGGCAGCAGGCTGTTTTCATTATTCTATTAAAGAATGAGTGGAAGAAATGAGTTTGGATGAATATACTTTCCATGTTTTTGACATTTTTTGAACGTTCTGGAGCGTCGCCGATGGAAACACTGCTGTGAAGACTGACAGCAGATCAGTGATAAGAAAGGCAAAGAGAAGACGACACGCGAGGCTGCTACTCGTGCACGGGCCTCGGGACTGACTCCTGTCCTACTTAATCCAACTTAAAACTCTAGTAAAAACATTTAGTACATTTTATACTTTTCAAGTTAACTAAGACCACAGGTCATTCAATGACGTTAGGCTGACGTTGCACGCCGCGGCATTTTAATCTGACACAAGACACTGAAAATGTCAAGAATTCCATGGTTGGAAGTTGGAACCATGGAATGTGTATATATATATATATATGTGTGTGTGTGTGTGTAAATAAACGTATATAAATTTGGAAACTGGAAATTGTCGTTGGCGTCTGTATTAAAACTAACCGCCAAAGTAACTCAAAAGTAATTTAACAGGTTGTGTAACAGTACTTACAGTACTACAAACTACAACACTATAGATTTTGGTTGTATTGTGCAATGGTGACATTAGTGTGTTTCAAACAACAGATTGTAGATGTATCATAGTCATGACACACCTATGACATGCAGACTATGACCATGACATCACTCACTGGTTTTGAATTCCACATTTTAAAGTTTCAACAATAGCATTTTGAGCGTCGTCGTGTTTTTTGAGCGAGCGTGGAGACGGTGGAATAATCACCGCGGCCGTCGCCCTGATTCCAGTATCCAGATGCATCCAGTTGTTAAATAAAGAAAATCATCCCACTCTGTGGAGGCTTTTCACCACTAGAAAAGCAGAAATGGTCAAAAAAAATGAGTTACCTGACTCAAAATCTGAATTTACTGACCAAGGGTCTCAAAATGTCAATTCACTTTCGAGTAAGACATAATTTTACTGAACTTGGAGGTTGAGCCTTACCTGATTAGGATTTCCTAAGTTTAATACATGAACTATAAATGATGGGCAAACTCTGGCAAACTTAAGACTGTTTTTTAAACTTCTTAGTCTAAGTTGACACAGCATTTCCTCCAGTAAAAGTTTAGTTTCTCCTAGAAAGGTCGCACAAGTAGTTAAACTGTGCCTTTAAAGGAGCAGAACTAGGATACACTGTTAAAGAGTTAAAACTCACTTTTGAGACAATCTGATCCTGTGTGTTTATGGCATAAAGATAAATTCTCAGAACAGTCGTAATCATGGTTTCATGTAAAGCTTCATAAGCTTACATTAAAGTGAGAGGTGACTACATTATACTTCTAGTCTGGTTACTGTAGGCTAGTTTTTAGGCCAAAAAGCGACTTTATCTACAGATTGTCCGCACTGGAGCTTTATAACGTCCTCACCTGTAGGAACAAGATCAACCTGCACAAAACAGGTAAGGAGCTCAGCGGCCACAGTGGGAGGGGCGGGGCTGAATAAAGGGGCGGGGTGGTCTCCCGGTGGCGTTTCCAGCCAATCAGCTGTTCGGGACTGAGCTTCAGCTGAGCCTCAGGTCAGAGGCAGAGCAGCTCTGGGAGTTTGCATATCAGCAAGCGAAGAAAAGTTTTGACAAGCGGACCTGCGGGCGGCTTCTGTCAGCAGCAGCAGCTCAGCGTTCAGCCTGTGTGGAGTCTTTTCTCAGCGGGTGAGAGGTTGTGCAATCCTCGGCAGTGTTCTGAGACTGTACGGCCCCAATCCCCCAGCTCAATCACCGCCAGCCTGGACTAACTGAACGCTTCACAGGTTTAATGACTTCATCTGTCAGCGGGCTCCTTGTGACCTGCGCACTTCGGTCTTAAACCTGCTTTTTCTCGTCTCCCTATTTTTTTTAAAATATAATTTTGTTTTAACTCTAAAGTTGGACTTTACTCAAGACTGTCGTGGAAACAGCATTGCGAAAATATGACAGCCGAAAAGGAGAAAAAGAGGTAAGAGATACTGGATTCACTCCTCTCCTTCAGCCTCTCTGCGGTTTTAATTGCCTTCCGCTTGGATGTGACTTTATTAATTCGCGGATTTAATAACAGAGGCTGTTTATTTAGTGCAGAAATTGCCTGACAGTTGGCTGCTGTGGCACAGAGAGGGACCTGTTGCTGCAGTGCTGCATGTGACTTGGCCTAGCTTTGCGCTCTCTGCTTGTTTGGAAGGCAGCGACAGGCGGTGGTTTCACACAGCTTTAATCTTAGCATTGCATTAATTCTGATGCACCGGGGCTGGAAGGCAAGTGGCCGGTTTAGCCTGTAACTGAACCGAGCGTTTGTTTTGGAAATGAGCTGATTTGGGTTTCACTGCGAGAAGCCGCAGTCACATTGAATTGTGCATATTTTAAAACCCCGAATGAACTTTAAAGGACTTTAAAATACTTTCTAAATATATTCAAATTTGAAATTTAATACAATTTCTGATCTGCTTCTCGCTCATTCTAAGGTTAAACCCCACTACTGACTAATTTCCACATTAAGTGGTCCTGTAAACAAACCATTAACTTTTAAAAAAGGATGTGTGTAAATACCTCTATAGAGGTTCGCTGTTGAAATGCACAACACTTGTAATCTTTTTAAATGGAAGTTATGAAGTTTCATATGAAGAAAATTTTTCTTGCATAATTAAACCCACATAAAACACTTTGATCCTGCACACAGGATGCAGAGCAGACAGAGAAAAGGCTCAACTTGCATGCGAAGTAGCAGCTTACTATAGAAAGGTGCATGTCATTATGAATGTATAAATATTAACAAGATCTACATGGACTTTTGAACAAGTGGTAACAAGAAGAAAAAAAAAGACACCACACTTTTTTCTTTTTTTCTTTTTTTTTTTTTTAAGTAAGGCAGCACTTTCTGGAGAGAATCCAAGCTCTTAACCTTTAACCTCCTTTTAACAGAAGCTGGGCATCAGTAAAGGATAATCAGTCATTACAGCAGATATCAGACTGCCTGATCAGGAAAGTTCTAGACCTGCAGATATATTGCAGTACCTTGCTCTTGCTCTAACCACCTGATGTTTAGCCAAAATCTCAAAAACTGATATTTGGCGGCATGACTGGCAGCATTCATAGAGCTGTGACATCTTTTTTTTTTTCTTAACTTAGTCATATCACACAGCATGATAATCTTGTCCTGTAACTAGTCAAACAGGAGATAATTGTGCATGTTTTATCTAGGTCAGTGTATCCCAGCATTGATCTGACCAGTGAAGTTGTTTATAATTTGGCTCTAATTATGTATTGTAATATTTCAGGTTTCTTCAGTTTCCCTGGCTTTATTCCCTTTTTTCTGGTTGTTAATTGTTCATCAGTAGCCATGAAGCCTCAGGCTTAGTAATAATGCTTTACTCGTCTCAGCCTGTCTTGGTTTGTGTGGTCACAACAGGCCAGTTAGCTTTAACATCTTACCTGTGGGAAATTCTAAATTAGGTTTCCTGGTTGATTCCTGGTGAGAGCGTGAAACGATGCTCAACTTAATATTTAATTAAGAGATTCCCAGAGATTTTCTGCAAATTAATCTTTCACACTACCTGGAGGAGAAAACTGATTTCAACCAGTGCAGCTGTTTTCGCTTGACACCTGCTTGTATGTCCTGTGCACCTCGGACTCTTTTCTCTGACTCTTGTCTGTCAGATCAAGCGTAAAGGTGAACAAAGCAGGGGACTAAGGCAGGATAACTGTGCCAGGGGTGAAAACATTCAGAGAAAGAGGGAGAAAATGACTTGGGGAGATGGAACGTGAGATGAGTATAGGGCATTTCCTCTGACTGGTCAACGCCTCGGTGCTCCCACTGAAGACCTATCGGCCATTTTAGGGAAAGGGATCTCTGCAAGTGTGTCTCTGTCAGGCTGCACATGAAAAGCGTGTGTGTGTAAGTGTGTGAGAGTTCACTGGTGTTTGTCCTCTCGCTGGTGTGCTCTGTGTGTGTTTGTCTTTGTGTCACACAGTAGTATGTTGTCACTGCTGCTGCCTGGAAGTCATAATTGGTTTGATAAGTTTTGATTCATGACAGCTGCCAGTGTTTATTTGAGATCCGGTGTCTCTCACTGGTTTTATTAATAATAATCATGTGGATGTGATGAACTGACTTCTTGTCCGGCAAGTACATATTTTCTGTATCCTGATACACAAAAAGATTTCAGACGATTTTCATCACAGAGTCACTGATTTTTCTTTATATGTTGGTGTGTCTATTTTAAAGCTACAGCTGGAACGTATTTGATTCTTTTTTTTGCTTATTGTTTAGTAAAAGCCCAACATGTTCATGGAAGAAGGAAAAATGAACTGTCAGATATCTGCAAATGGAGAAAATAATAAGTGTTTTTAATAACTGATTAATCATTTATGTTTCTGCAGTTGGAACTTTAAAGGCAAATATTCAAAAATTTGATGGGTTGGTACTTCATCAGTAACTGAAAGTTAAAAAAGAAAATGCACAAATCAACAAACAGACTTGATGAGGGGGAAAAGTAGTGATTTCACACTGTAGTTGAACCCTCTTGTCTCCTGCATGTACTATCTTGGATCTTTTGGATCAAGCTTCCACCTTATGCGGGCTTTGCCTTTTTTTTTTGTTTTGTTTTTTTTTTTGTTTGGAAGATGTTTTGTCAGAGAGAAAATGCATTCCCCCTTGAAGCAAAACTGAGAATGCAGTAAAGCAAAATTGGAAGAAACGGGGTACTTTTTAGGTTTTTCTACATTACCATTACGAGTTTCGGCAAGTTAAAGCAGTCGCACAAGTTCTTAGAAAAACAGAAAAAACGTAATCGGATAAATCGGTTCATAAGAAGAAGGAAAAAAAAAAAAAAAAAGTTCAAACTAAAGGCACAAATAAATTCAGGATAGCCTCTCAGGAGTACCTTTTCACAAGAGCCCGAAAAGAGGAGCCCGAAAATGTTACAAGAGCCTTGAACTGGGTGAAAAACATCTGATAAAGTCTGTGTGCGTAAGGCCAGCTTTGTGTCTTGTCATCCACTGAGTCAACGCTGATTTGAACTGTCACTGCAATCTTTTCTGAGTCTTGATGATATTAGTTGCTGGTAGAGTTACCACACCTTTCTGATTTGGAGCAAAGAAACACTTCCTGAGTTTGTATAAGCAGCCAGCAGTGCTCCCAAAACCCCAAAATGTCCTCCAGGCAAGCTGAAATTCCCAAAATAACAATGACTGCAAGGGTGTCGGCCGTACATCAGTGGGAAAGTAAATCTCTCTCTTATTTTTGAAATACATCTCATATTTTGTGTTATCAATAATATAAACATAATTTTCTTGCGACAATAATTTGGATTTTGTTACTTGTTGAGTTGCGATGATGATTATTACAACGCTGTAAGTCCAAGTCACCTGATCTGTTATATTCTTATGTCTGCGCCACGTTCACATCGTGAACTTTTCCTGTTATGTTAGTGTGACTACTATAATCTGCAATAAGTTCAAAATGTTCTCCATCATTTAAGCCAAAAAATCTTCACTGTATTGCTTTGTAGCTTTCTTTTATTCATTTCTTAGATCCGAGTGTTTAAATTGCTCAACTGGATTCACAAGTAATGTTACATTACTAGTATTTTTCTTGTTATGTATAACAGTGGTTGACATAGTGTACACTTGTATGTTTACTTTGGTTTGTAACAACTTCAGAAAGCCGTTACCACAACCTGACTCCGTAACACACCAGCAGTGTTTGTCACGCTACTGAATACATTGAATAGCTTCTTTTCTTTTCTCCTTTTTTTTTTTTTTTTTTTTTTTTTTTTTTTTATCAACTGATACCAGAAATAAGTTGTGGGCTTGTGAGGAACTCCTCTCGCTTCTTTCAGCATGTGATCCCATTGGAAACAATGCTCAAAGGTCAGAGTCCAGGGCAGCTGCCAGGCAGATATACATTACATGACTGCTGAGAGATTGAGCCATTCGGGTGTATTTTCTGTCTCTTTGGAGGACATTTTACAGTTATCATAGTTGGTGGGGGTGTAGCTGTATATTCTAGCAATAACAAAATGGGCCAATTTAAATTGTGGATGTTAAAAAATATATTAAGAACCTTATCATAGCAGTTTCTAGCTATAAAACTTTTGCATTTATTGAGGAGATGATTTGGTCTTAATTCTAGGAGAAAAACAACTAGTAGCCATGTGCATGTTAAGTCATCTTAACAAGAACCACATTTTATGGTGTCTTTGAGGTGTTTATATGACAGCTGTGGGGTTCTTTTTCTTCTAATCTCCACACCAAAACATAGCTGAATGAATTTAAGACCTTTAATGACTTTGAGTTTAGTTTCTCTTAATGACTGTTTTATAGGAGATGGTACATACTAAGCTGTCTATCTGTAACCTTTCACTCACTCCAAAGACTCAACGGGAAAATGTCTGAAAAGTTTTTCTTTTTGAGGGAATATATGCTGAGCTAGAATCACTTTATTTTATGGACCGCATGTAGCCCAGTTTAAACCTCAGACCAGTTGAACGGTAATAACTTAAAAAGAAATATCTCCAAATTTTCCCTTTGTTTGTTTTAAGAGGTACATATGGAAAACATTGACATTTAATGAACCATCCATTTATAAAATATATGGGCCGGCTCAAATGACTTTGTAAAAACAAGTGTCATTTAAACAACTTATCGTAAATCAAAGAAGCAGATCGTCACAGCAGCCACAGGTCGTGTTTGTTTTTTCCTGTCAGGAGGCTGAAAAACTTCTGGTTTGGATAAAATTAACAAGCAACAGTTTTATGATTTGCTCCAAGTATAACCTGCAACTTGATTATTAGAGTAATATATAATGAAAAGTGTAAAATGCAGTTTTGATGCAGTGGGCTGGACTCACCTTTTGGTGATCTGACATCAGGCAGTGTTAATGCTTGCGGAATAATTCTGGCAGCTTGTTTGAGCTGTCAGTGCTGCAGTGCTTTTAAGCTAGAACTGCTCACATTCATCATATTG